TGTCATATATTTTATTAGAGAGAAGTCACTTACATGAGAAGCCAAGAACATAAGGTCAGTGCTCTGCTGCTCTCTGAGACCCAACCAGAACCCCAAGAGAGAGAGAATCTCCTTTTCCCCAGCCCTGTATCCCCCATACCTTCTATATACCTGTGACCACGCCCAAATGGACATAGTCCATATTACAGGTACATAAGAAATCTCCCTACAAGAATGCCTCTCTTAGAAATGGCATAAGTGTGGCTCACCACTTATTTTTTTTTTTGGTCTTTATTTTTAAATTTAAATTAGAAATAAGGTTGCTTCACATGTGAATCACAGCTCCTTCTCCCTCTCTCTTCCCTCCTCCCATGCCTTCCCACCAACTCACCCATCTCCCTTCCCCCAATCCCCACTTCTTTCCCCAGGGAGGGTGAGACCCTCCATGGGGAGGGGTTCCATAGTCTGTCATTTCATCCAGGGCAGGGCCTAGGCCCTCCCCCAAGAGTCCAGGCTAAGAGAGCATCTCTCATTGGAGGCCTACCACTTATAACTGGTGGTCTATCACTCTGGAGAGGAGCCAGGTGTTGTTGGTTTTGTTTTTTGTTTTTCTCTTTGGGGGCATGCCACCCAGCTACCAACTAGTGCACATGAACTTATGGATTTTTTATTACTTATGAATGCCTGGCGTTAGCTTGGCTTGTTTCTAGCCATCTTTTCTAACTTAAATTATCCCATTTCTCTTTAACATGTTTTGCCTCTAGACTTTTAGTCTTTCTTTATTCTAAATATCTTCCTTTCCTTCTTACTCCATGGCTGGCTGTGTGGCTAGGTGCCTTGCCCCTGGCATCCTCCTCTCCTTCTTTTCTCACTCCCCTCTCCCCTTGTTCTTCCTTTCCTCTCAAGTCTGTATTTCTCCTCTCTGCCTACTAGCCCTGCCTATACTTTCTCCAGGCTAGCTATTGGCCATTCAGCTTTTTATTAGAACAATCAGGTGTTTTAGGCAGGCAAAGTGAACCAAATGCAGCACATCTTTTCATAATTAAATAAATGTTGTATAAACAAAAGTAGCACACTGTGCACAGTTAAAGTAATATTACATAGCATAAACAACACATCTTTGTCTAGTTAAAATAATATTCTACAACAGCCAGGAGTGCTCCTTTAGAGAGGCTATGTAGGCTTAAGGATTTTTGCAATTGACCAGTCTTCAGCCTGACCATTATATTTGAGATTTTTTTTTAATAAATGTAATGGTTTAGAAGAGAATCCCACCCCCATGGTTGGAAAGGACTAGGTATGGTTTTGTGTGCCATTGGTGGTGGGCTTTGGTTCCCTCCCACCAGTCTTTGGATGTTGGGAGGCATATGACCTGGTATCAGGCCAGTATATAAGTATTTGTCCAATGGGTCTCCAAATAAGGCAAAAGTCAGTCCATGGGGGCAGTCTCACTCGGCAATGACCAGTGGACTTTGGGACAGTTCAGAATACCGCTGGGACTCCATGATCTGCATGCTCTCTTCTCTTAATATTGATGATTCTCCTGGTGATTTGAGTATCACTTTGTCAAACACACATGGGACAGATGTGGTTATTCCTGCAAACCCCCTTTTTTTCTCCAGTATTTCTTCCTAAAATCCTTTGGAAGCTGATTCTCCTTAGGTTTCTTGTCTGGGGATGGAAGCTGTCACTTCAGATCCCGGGAACTGTTCTGATTCAGTACTGACAGGATTGGAGGCAGAGCACCCCCATTTCTGTAAATATGTTTTGAACAATATTGTTCTTCTTGGAAAAGTGTGTCTGTTTATCACATTTTAGTTTTGTAAAGACAGGTGGCTCCATATTTGGCCAAGCTAGCAAAATGATGTGTCGCTTTTGGCTTTAAAACATTTTGATGTAAAAGTTGGAAGAAAAAAAAACATTATTTGACACATTTGTTTTTGCCAGAAGTTAACATTGGAGGATGGGGAAAACTTGCTAGATTGGAAAAACATGCTTGTTTTGATGTATAAATAAAGACTACTGGAGCTATTTAGACACTTGTGTGAAACTCATCTGGTGGTCAAAGTTCATTTCTTCCTGCAGAAGCCCATTCCCCATATCAGGACCTGAACCCTGACTTTGACGGGACTACAGCAATTAGATTCAGTTTTTAAGTGTGGAGAATATTGGAATATTGTTTTATGCTAGGCTGGCTCAAAGTTGTACATAGTTTCTCCCCACCTCTAGACTCAACCATGTTTGTTTAAAATTTCCTGTCCTATGCTAGGCAAGCTACCTATTTTGCTAGTCTCTGCCAGAATATCTCCTAGCCCAAGTTAAAACATGTGGGTGGATTATACAACTAACATTCCTGGAGTGGGGGTGAGGGGATGGGCACAAACCAACCCCCAAGAACTGGCCCAACACCAAGTGCCTAATAATTGTTCAACTAACCAGTTTGGCTGCCTCTGTTCAGATTAAATAATTCTTGTTTCATAAAATATTAAAGCTGAATCTCCATGTACTTATATATAAAAACATACCTTGTAATATGAGACATCCAGATGGTACTGGTTTTAAAGACATGAAAGAGTCATGGAGAATCACTTTAGCTTGATACTATATGACAGGACTGAAGTTTCTAAAAAATCCCAGAAGAAGCTAATTTAAATAAAAATGCAGCTGAAGTGCACTAAGTGACCCGACTAATTTTAGAGATGTCAATGCCAAACTATGGCCACCAAGAATAGCAGCCACAATGAGATGGAGCCAGATGGGGACAGGCTATATATGCTGCCAAGGACAGCACCAAAGTGACCTGGGCCCCTTAGAGGAACTCAGAAATCATTAATAAATTCTACATATTGAATTGATTATACTGTGGGAGTTTGGTCTTGCCTTGTTCAGATTATGATTGACGATTGTGCCCTATTTCTTCTCTCTTGAGAGACACAACAGAGTCAATGTCGTCCCAGTCTCCCCCAAGACCTTACCAGGCCTCCAGATCTTAGCACAACTAACTCTGTGATGGAAATACCATTCAGGTTGCAAAACTCAGTACATAGACAGCACCACCAATCAAAACTAAAATAAGCTAAACAATTAGGGCCACCGCTATGAGTACCAAACACTAAATTCCCATCTTATGGTACAGCAAGACAGTGACCTAAGCAGTCTCTCCTGGGACGGCACACTGTGCATCCCATCCAAACAGGAGTCAGGCCACCCAGAGATTGCCAGAGTCCAAGTCCCATTCTCCATCCACCGGACAGGCAAGGCAAGCTTAGGCGTGTTTCTGGCCCACCTTCCAGGGACAGAGAGGGAGGACTGATGAGCAAAGGGGTCAAGACTAGACTAGTTTAACCCACAGAAACAGCTGACCTGAACAAGTGGGAGCTCTTGGACCCCAGACTGATGGCTGGGAATCCAGCATGGGACTGATCCAGACCCCTGGAATGTGGGTGTCAGTGAGGAGGCCTAGGCAATCTATGGGGCCTTGGGTAGTAGATCAGTATTTATTCCTGGCATACAAATGGATTTTGGGTGCCCCTCCCACAGTGAGGGGTGCTCTCTCAGCCTGGACTGTTGGGGGAGGGCCTAGGCCCTACCCTGAATGAAATGACAAACTCTGGAGATTCCCCATGGAGGGTCTTACCCTCCCTGAGGAATGGAGTGGGGATTGGATGGGGGATTGAGGAGCCTGGGGGAGGGGGGGAGGGGAGGAAGAGGGAGCTGGGATTGACATGTGAAGCAAGTTTGTTTCTAACTTAAATTTAAAAAAAAAGGAAAATGTCTCCCTTTACCTAAAGTCTATTTAGACAAACAGAAACTGACTTAAAAATATGTCTATACATGGGCACCCCACCCAGAATGGAGAAGGGACAAGATCTTCTGAGTAAAGTGGGAGCATGGGAGGAGGGGGAGGAAAGTAGGAGAAAGAGGAGGGGAGAAGAGGAGGGGGGGAGGAGAACATGAGAGATCAGGAAGGTCAAGTTGGGGGCAGGACAGAGAAGTGAGCAAGGAAAGAGATACCTTAATAGAGGGAGCCATAATAGGCTTAACAAGAAACCTGGCACTAGTGAAATTCCCAGGAATTCACAAGGATGACCCCAACTAAGAATCCAAGCAATAGTGGAGAGACTACCTTAAATGCCCTTCCCCTATAATGAGATTGATGACTACCTTAAATGCCGTCATAGAGCCTTCATCCAGTAGCTGATGGAAGCAGCAGAAATTTAAGCACTGAGCAAAAATCCTGGAGTGCAGTTGTAGAGGGAGAGGAGTGAGGAGCTAAGCAGTCAAGACCATGGTAGGAAAACCAACAGAAACAGCTGACCTGAACAAGTGGGAGCTCACAGACTCCAAACCAACAGCTGAGGAACCTGCATAAGACCAAACCAGGCCCCCTGAATGTTGGTGTCAACTGGGGGGCTTGGTCAATATATAGAGCCACTGGCAATGAAACCAGTATGTATCCCTAGTGCATGAACTGGTTTTTTGGAGCCCATTCCCTATGGAGGGATACTTTCTTAGTCTATATATATAAGGGAGGGCCCAGGTACTTCCCCAAATGATATAACAGACTTTGATGATGCCCATGGGAGGCCTCACCCTCTCTGAGGAGTGGATGTAGGTGGGATGGGGAGATAATGGGGAGAGTGAAAGGATGGGAGGGAGAGGGACCTGGGATTGGTATGTAAAATAAGATTGAATACAAGAAATGTCTAAACTCCTTGTCTTTGTTAAGCTTTAACTATTTTGATAAAATGAGTCATATATAAAGCTGTGATATTCTACAATGATAAAGTATGTAAAACAAAGTTTCCAGCCTCTATATGAAATGTATTTATAGTTTAAATAATTATTTTAATGCTAAAAGAGCTTCAATTCAAAAAATTATTTGCAGGTATACATGTAACTGTAATAATGAAAGACGCTATCAATTTGAGGGAGAATTGGTCTAGAGGAAGGAAAGGATAGTGGGGTAAGTGATATAATTATTATTTTAACTAAAAATGCAAAAAAAAATGAAACGAGAATTGTTGACTAAAATGCTTTAATTCAGATGTCAATTATAAACAATTGTGTACCAGATTTCTGCATTTCAACATGAATTGTTAATATTAGACACAATCGCAGGTTCTATGTTGGTTAAATATTTTAAATACATTAGCAGTTGCCCTCTTGGAGCAGTGGATAGAGCTTCAGTTTCTATCTGAATAAATAGTTTTATAAAAATACCCATACAACTCATTAAGAATGGGATATATTTAACAAAATATAAATGGGGTAATTGTTTAATGTGAAAACTGTATATTCTGATTTGAATCTGAAATGTTGCCTAGAGGCTTCTGTGTTGCATGTTTGATTCTCAAACTGTGGCAATACTTTAGAGGTGAAACTACTTGAGGGTTTTTTTTCCTTTTTTTAAATACATGTCACTGTTAGATATCTTTAAAGAATAAACCTGATGATATTCAGCCACTTCTTTGCTGTTTCCTATCAAGAAGTTAGAAAGCACTTCTGCCATGATCTACATGGTCAGAGTCAAGTAGCTATTGACTATATGAAATTAGGATCTAAATAAATACGTACACCCTTAAATTGGTTCTGTCAAATAGTTGTCCACAGTAGTACCAAGCTAACTAATATGACCAAAGCACTTTAATACTGTGTAAGTCTGAAACTGCAATCAAAACCACATACATAAAAAGGCATGCACCCGACTTCTGAAGTAGTCTCTGACTATATTTGTTACATATGTAACAAATTCTACTCATGCTGAGTGCCCTCAATTCAGATTTCTAAAACAAAATAAATACAGGACATACTTATATTTGAGATGTATGTTCAAGCCTGTTCACTAGATTTGAGTATCAACTAATAAACTTTCATTTATGTCAGCTACAAGTGCCTCAGATTGGAGGCCAATTTACACTGACAAGGAACAACCATCCTGCTTGTACACAATTGAACACAATCTGAAATAATAATTTCAAATAACTTATTATTTCCAATTAATACCCAAGTTATATAAACAGAACTATTTTTTATATTGTAGGATTTTAATAGAATCCAAATGAGAGTGTGTTTCATTTTAGCTCCTTCATTATGTTTCAGGTTCCCTGACTTATCTGTGATTATCAAGGTATAGGTATCTGTTGCAATAAACTTTGAACTTCACATTACCCTCATTTTTCTTGATCTTGACAGATTTGGCATCCTTTCACCAAGTCATCAAATCTTTCATTTGCTCAAAGGATTTGTAACATGGTAAGGGAGCATATAGACCATACAGACAGCAGCCAGAAAACCTCCAAGACTTGCTGTTATGCGTGAAGTGATACACAGTAGCATGATTTCCACAGTTCCACATGTTTCTACAAACTTACTATAAAACTCCTATAAAATACTGAAATAGAAGTGAGGTATGGCAACATTTCCCCCTAATTGTATTCTTGTCCTTTGTCACTTATAGAGTTTGTGACACCAATAGATTCGCAAATTCTTCTATTTTTAATTATCTGAGGTTTTTTTTTAAGGTTTCATGTTACACAGGCTGGGTTTCAACTTGCTCTATAGCCAATATTAGACTATAACTCCTGAACCTCCTTCCTTGACCTTCTGAGTATGGAGATAACAAGCATGCACCAACAGTCCAGCAATGAGTTCTAAATTCTATTTAGAGTTTGGGGCAATTCTCTACTTTTATCGGTTCTGATAGCATGTCAAGAGAACCTCAAGAAGAATATTTTGCATTTTTTTAAGTCATGGTGTCATCCTCTGTTGCCTATGAACAAATGACCCTCCACCATGAACATATGTCTTATGTTGGATTAAAAGCAATCACTAATGTACCTAGTTAAATTACTTGTCAGTCAATTGTGAGTTCTTTAATTTAAAAAAAAAAGCATACATCAAGATTTTCCTTAACTGTTTATTCATAAGGTTTAATCTCTCATGTAAGTATTCCTATATACAGTAAGATCTGATTTGGTAAATGTTTCCAAGTGTTCTTTACATTCACAGGTTCCCATACCTGTAAGAAGTGTTAGATGTTTAAGTAAAGTTTGTTTTATGGTGCAAAGCTTTCTTGCATTCTTCATATTCATAGTACATTGTCTGATGCTGAGAAGTGTTACTCAGCAAAGATTTGTTGCACTGTTTGCATTCACAGGCTTTCTCCATAGTATGAATCTTTTGATGCCGTCTAAGATTTGACTTATCATAGAAAGATTTCCTACATTCCTTACATTCATAGGGTTTCTCACCTGTATGAGTTCTCTGATGTACAGTGAGATGTGAAGTGCAGTAAAATGCTTTCTCACATAATTGACATTCATAGGGTTTGTCACCTGTGTGAGTTCTCTGGTGTCGAGTCAGGCCTGACTTGCGGTAGAATGTCTTCATACATTGCTTGCATTCATAAGGTTTTTCACCAGTATGAGTTCTCCAATGATGACTGAAACTCGATTTACAAATAAACGACTTCCTGCATACTGTACATTCATAAGGTTTCTCACCTGTGTGAGTTCTCTGATGTACAGTTAAATAGGACTTGGTGGAGAAGGCTTTCCCACATTCTGTACACTCATAGGGTTTCTCACCTGTATGAATTCTCTGATGTAGAGTGAGTTGGGGCTTTTGGCAAAAAGCTTTCCCACATTCCTTACATTCATATGGCTTCTCACCTGTATGAATTCTCTGATGGTCAGTGAGCTCTGACTTACGATAGAAAGCTTTCCTGCATTCTAAACATATATATGGCCTCTCACCTGTATGAACTCTCTGATGCTGAGTGAGGTGTGACTTTTGGCAAAAAGCTTTCCTACATTCCGTACATTCATAGGGCTTCTCCCCAGTGTGAGTACTATGATGTCTGTTGAAGCTCGTTTTCCAATGAAAGCACTTTCCACATATTTTACATTCATAGGACTTTTTCCCTCTGTGGATTTTCTGATGGAGACTCACTTCTGATTGCTGAGAAAGCTCATATTCCTCCTGGGCAAAGAGCTTTTCTTCTGCATGCTGTCCCTTATGTTTTGGAAAGTATGATTCAGTAATGAAAGGGTTCTCAAAGTCATTACATTTATACTGTTTCTCTCCAGGGTGTATTTGCTCATTTTCATCAAAGTCAGACTTGATACACTTTATCTCTGATATATTACATTCAAAAGATTTCCCCGTTATCTGAGCCATCTCCTTGCCAATAAATGCTGTATCACCTAAAGATTTTGCATATTCACTGAACTTATGAGTCAGTAATACTGCTTTTGTGTTGAGGGACCTCCCTGGTATAAGACTTTGAAAATAACTTTGTGAACTTTGAGACTTGTATAGACTACCATGCTCTGGATGTCTCGTGGATTTTATAATTCCATTAAGATCATCAGGTTCAACTTCTAGTTCATCAGCATCATTTTGGAAAGATACATTCTTCCACAGAATAAGCTTTCTAGGACACATTCCTAGTGGGTTCTCATTCTTTATATTCTGATTTGAAACATGGTTTGCACTCACACTGAATGCCTTCCCTATTCCAGTCAACTCCTTTGATGTATCACTGTCGACTGCAACTTGCCACACATTTCTCGTTTTGGTTTCAGAACAAATCTTGCTCAGTGTATTCATTCCCTGGAATTCTAAAATGACATTAAAACAAATTAGTATGCGAAAACTGGACTATCTTCCTTCCTATAAAAGGACAAATGCCGCTCCCACCCAATTCCTAGTATGCTTTAGCCATCTATTTGCTTTTAAATCATTTTGTCAAAACAAGGAAAATATTTTACAATTTACAAAAAAATAATACTCATTTTCCTTTATCTAACTCAATGTCATATGTGACTTCTAAATTTAATGTACATTAATAATATAAACTAAAGTATACTGTGTTGTTTTTATATTTGAATACAACTGAATACTATTCACACTCAAAGAGGTATCATTGTCTTGTTTCTAGATATGTACACATGTACTCCAATAATACTCATGTCTACTTTTCTCAGCCCAGACCTCTAGGTTCTTTTCCTCCTTCTAGACAATCCTCATTCTACTTTTTTTTTAGTTTACTTCATTCTAGAAACTTAAGCCCAACTTTTTAACAATCCACTGATCATTCGAAACTGTTTTCAACCACATTATTTTTTTAGCTTATTTTCTCTGGCTATTGGTTTTTAGCATTCTCAGTTTTGATTTTTAAAAGATACAAGAAATCATTTCTTTAAAAAAAAAGAAATCATTTCTTGTTATCGGCTCATGAGGGCTTGCTTTTTAATCTCAAATTTGATTTGATTTACAGAAAGCTCAGATGTATATTTCACAGCCACAGGGATAGTATATACTATAGATGTTTCTTTAGTGTCACTGATGCACGCTGTCAACTATGAGGTTTCTCTGTTTAATCTTGTTCCTCAGTTACCTATTTAAGATAGTAGACTATTTTAGTCACTCAACTACAGTATGTATTTCACTCATGAAAGTAGATTTTTATTTATTGGTACATTATCCAGTCCTAGAATGCTGAAGTTGCTCACTCACTTTTGCTCTATCCAAAACTTCTGTCTTCCTTTGTGTTTAGAAACATTTTTGTAGAACTCAGCATACCAATATTCAGTGCATAAACATCTGGAATAATTATATTTTAATGGATTGGTTCCTTTATGAATATTCAGTGAATTTCTTCATGCCTTCTAAGCTAATTCAGCATTAAGTTGGCTTACTCATGTGAGTAGAACTACTGATGAGTCCTTTCACATTGTTTGTTTCAAGAAACAGTGATCATATCTTAAATCCTTATGTACCTCTGCCAGTGAGAGAAGATCCTGCAGACAGCAAACAAGATCTTAGCTTTTATCCCATTTTGCTTTAAAGTTAAAAAACATGTGTATTTGGGATTCTTATTGGAAGATACACATTAAATCTTTATTTTAAAAGGTCTTCTGGTTTACTAAATTAATAATGTGATAGTGTACCTACATATCCTCAGTGATCTATGATTATCTGATTTCATATCTACAGTATAGCTCAGTCTCAAAAACTGAATGAGTGCCCTCTCAAGTGCCTCTCTCAAGCCTGAGTCTGGTATAGCACTTCAAGGTGAAGGGAGCAATATAACTGGTTTCTTCTCCAATGCTAGTCTGTTATAAAGAAGTTACTTTCAGACAAGGAATGCTCAACTGGATTTAAACTTTCTGAAAACCATGGGTTTCTCCTGTGTCTAGTTGTCTCTAAGGCTGCCTACATGCTCCAGGCTTCCCTCATGTTTATGGCTTTTGGTTTTCTTCTGCACAGGGAGATAATTACAGACTGCCTCCTCTTTGTGTGGTATGGTTCATGTGTGTGTGTGTGTGTGTGTGTGTGTGTGTGTGTGTGTGTGTGTGTGTGTGTGTGTGTGTGTGTGTGTACTCATGTATTACAGTTTTATTTTTCTTCTTTTCAGCTGCCCAAAAGACTTGGGATATTTTCTTCTTTGTTATCCTATTTCTCTTTATTCAGAAAATCATAAGGCACTTTTAATCTACTGTTTTACTCTGGTACACTCAGATGATTCTCTCAAATTCCACCCATTAACTGTGATTAAATACTAGCCTTAAGCTACTCATTTATAAATTTGTATCTGTTATCAATACTAACGACTATTATCACATCTTTGGTATATAGCCACCTGCATATTATGTAACAAACTTAGAAAATGATTATCTCATAGTTAAATTACCTCAATAAAATAAATGTATAGCTACTTCCTTACAACTCAGTTTATTAGACTTTTCCTAAATTAATACTATGTATGTTCTTTCTCCAAGACCCATATACAGAATGGATTTATAGTAAATCTAAAAGCATATTTCAATAACAACAACAAAAACACGGTCTTCTTTGGAGAGTGTATTACACAAAGGTCTAATATAGAAGATGAGCCATCTTTAGGACTGGGATGGGGGTAAATATGGTGACCATATCTGATTAGTTCTCACCATTCTAATCCCTAACTAGTATGCACAGATGTACCTGGGATGCTCTGGTTTGAGGCTTCTCCTACAATCCATGACCCAAGTCTTTGCTCCAAATTGAAGATCAACTCAGGTTTGGTCTTGCAGTGCCCTGTAAATGGAAAATGTTAAACTACTAAGTCAGGCAGAGAGAAAAAACATTTGAAAAGACATCCAATGATGGAGCCAATAAGTTTTAACAGAGAGTTTACATTCCATTATTCACTCACCCAAGAACAACAAGTTGCTGTAGTTCTCCAGCATCACATCCCTGTAGAGGGTTCTCTGACCTTCATTCAGGTTCTGCCATTCCTGCCAGGTGAATTCCACAGCTATATCCTCAAATGACACCAACCCCTGTAATGACACATTTCTCCTCAGCCTAGGAGCTCATCCTTCTATGTGAATAACTGTCTTATAACACAAACCTTGATTTGTATTCTTTATCATGGGAGAAAATAATATCTTACCTACACATGAATTTAATACAATTCAAGAAAATGTAATTATCCAGTTTCCCTTATAGATGCTGAGCAATCCTTATTACTAGGAAGAACAGGATTAATAAAATTCTCAGGAAAGCACCTAATAGAGTCCAAAGACACAAGTATAAACACATGCCGATGTGTACAAAAAAGTTAATGTTCTATTACAACAGGATGATGAAGTAGAAAACATTTGCTACTTACATAAGACAGAACTTCTAAATGTTTACATGGATGTGTTCTCATGAATATGAAGCAACAGAAGTCCACTTATGACAGCACAAAGGACACAAGACAGGCTAACAGAACCACAAAGAATATCATGTCTGAGTATTTTCATGTTGGGATGAGTATAAACACCAGTAAATGTTCAAATCATGAATTATCCAATGATTTTGCATTTAAGTTCTCCTAACAATTTAATTTTATGAGTTTGTTAACAGTCCATTACATAAATAATTGTTCAGAGACTGGAGAAATGGCTAAACAGTTAAAAGTACTGACTGTTCTTCCAGTGGACCCAAATTTGATTCCCAACATCCACATGGTGGGTCACAATCATCTAGAATTCCAATTCAGAGGATCAAATGGTGTTCAAGGGCACAGGCATAGACATGCAGGAAAATATCCATCATCGAGATACATAAAATTTTTAAAAATTAAACCTGCTTTAACAAAATAATAATTGCAGTTACAGTCATTCTTGTATTTTCTTGCTAAATCAGAAAACACTGCAAGGGTCCACATAAAAGTGACTATATTACCCATTTCCTAAATCAAAAATTGTTTTAAAAAAAGACATGGGGTGATATAAATTATGTAAATTACATGAACCAAAATATCAATTGACCATCTACATCTCTAACTCTGACCTCTGATTTATGGCTGAAGGTCACAAGGAGAGGAGTTAATAAGGCCCCAACATTCTCAAAGATTTATAGACAACAGAGAAACATTCTCTTCATGGTGCAACTGCTTAATAATTACCCATGCGCCTATTAAGTAACCTTAACTAAGCTCACTAGTTCACCAGGACTTGAGTGGAATAGTTTCCTTCACGTGTCATTGGTGTTTTATCTACGTGAACAGAAATGTGATGTCTTCCCAAGAAATATTCACACAACTAGAGGGTAAACTTTGTGCATTCTATGATGGGTGCTGGAAAATCTAACAAAACACAAGACAAAACATCATCTTTACAATATATACCAAAATCCCAAGAGAATTTCCTGGACATTATTCCAAAGAGGAGGATTCATTAAACACACTACACAGTGACATAAGGGCTGAGGATGTTGGTCAGTGGTAGAGGGCTTTCCTAGCACACAGAGCCTTGGTTTCAATACCCAGTAATGCCTAAATTAATAGCATAGGAAACTGTTTCAATTGCTTTGTATGCTTTAATAAAACACTGACCAAAAGCAACTTTGGGAGAAAAGAATTTATTACGTCTTTCAGGTCAGATAGAGCCCATCATCAAAGGATGCCAAGTCAAGAGCTCAAGCAGGAACCAGAGGAATGCAGCTTACTGGTTCTATCCCTTGAGCTTACTCAGCTGCCTTTCTTACACAGCCCAGGCCACGTGCCCATGATGGCACCACCCACAGTGAGCTGGGACCCCTACATGAATCAGCAACCAAGAAAATTCCCAACAGACATGATCACAGGTCAATCTAATGGAGTTAATTGTTAATTAAAGTTCCCTCTTTCCAGGTATGCCAAGCTGATAAACCAGACTAGTCATCACAGAAATATCTTTACACAATAATATGTTCAGACAATAACAAAATATCAAATTAAAGGCACCTACTGTAGCAACAAAAATATACCAACTTCTCAGATAATAAAACAAATTGAGGTTCTAAAAAAACAAATACTACATTCATGAACATAAACTTATATATCACAAAAACATAATAAATGAATGAAGTCTATATCACATTATCATTAATTTTCCTTAGGTCAGTAAATTTTCTTCTTAGATGTAAAACAGTTGATTTCAATATTGTTATAAAAAAAATTATACACTGGCAAGATGGGTAGAAGGAAAAGATGTCCTCTGATCTCCACATACATGCCAAAAAAAAAAATTGAAAAATTAACATATAAACAGCAACAGAGTAGTGTAGGTTAAATTCCTGTTCTTCCTAATCTAATTCTTCCCCCTGTATTAGTCACCATGGGTTGGATAAAAACTTATATAGTATGAAAGACAAATATTTTCACTGTAGTTAGTTTAAGTTAAGTCAACAGTCCAGGTTGCTAGAGGTTCAGTTCCTGATAAGATCTCCCCTCCTGATATCCAGGTGACAACCTAATCCAAGCATCTTTCCATGTAAAAACAAACAGAATTCTACCTTCCTATTTTAATTTTTTTCTGGGGCTCAAATCAAAGCTTTGAGCATAGTTGACAAATGTTCCCACGCTGTGCTTAGCACCCAGACCTTGTTCTTCTTTTGGATAGCGAAGTTCAGTTGTATGGCATTAGCACCCCATATAAATTTCTTTATTTAATCCTAATTACTTCTTATAAGCCCTGTCTTCAGATACAGTTCGAATGTGGATTTGGGTATACGCTGCATCAGAGAAACTCTGGGAAAGAATAACTACTTCATCCATACCCCTGATTGCCATGCCTTTATCTGAGTGAAACACTGAAGAAACACAACATTCACATAAGCCAACTTGGAGCTTCCCTTTGCTGTATGGGTTCCCTCTGCCTGAGGAGTCACATGTAAGGGACACACAGTCTTTCAAGGGGAAGTCAGAGGTGTCACTCACAAATTCACATTTTCCCTTTGGCATGAGGGATGAGAATGTACCTCACAGAAAAAAAAATCTTTTTCCTCTGGAACTCTGAGTCAGAGATGCAAAAACTCTTATGCTCTCTTGATGGACAGGTTAGTATGAATAGGAAAGAAAAATTTGCTTTCAGATCTTTCTGGAAAATTAATTATCACAACAAACTTCACCAGAAATAACAGTGTAAGAAAGCTGTTATACATTATCTTAAATACTAACTAAAACTGAACAAATACTAAATATAAAAATGACATTTAACCCCTACCAATGATGTAACTTAAGCTACATTTTACATATTTAGGATAATGACTAATACAGGTGTTGCTTAGCATGCCATGTGCATACCACAGGGACTTGAAACATAAACAATAACAGTACATTTCAGGTACCATCCATTGCATCTGGCCAAAGTAGATATAGTTATGAATGGACAGCATACGCATATCAGTTTATAAGCAGTAAATGAAGCAAAGAACCAGTAGACATCTGAGGATGTGCAGTCCTAAAATCTAGACATGTTTCCATCTCATCTTTTATGTTTTAAAATAGTTTAAAAGTTGCCAACTCTAGTTCAGGCAGGAAACAAAAACGGGAAAAAATGCTCTGTGAGCAAGGAATGTAGCTCATTTCTACAGCAGTCGGGTAGCATGTGTGAAGTTCCAACTTTTAACACATTTTTTAAATCTTATAATAAAAAGTCAAGTAAGAAAAAAGATTAAAGTTGATTGAAAATGGGGACATTTTGGGTTGTCTACAGGTGACTCTAAAAAAAACTAGATGATCAGCGTAACAAAAGACTGGACTTTATTCTGAACAGAGGGGAGAAACACAAGAGAGTATAAGTTGAAATACAGTGAGAAAGACAAGGCAGTGAGAAGTAGACATGGCCACTGGCCTCAGCTCAAGCAACCCAGAGAGAAAAGGGGCCAAAGACATATCTACAAAGTAAGCTAAGTAGTCTTGGGGAAAACATACTGGCAGTGGCTAACTACACAAGAAGTGGCCCATCCAGTTCACCATGGATGGGCAGCACTCATAAGGCCCCATCATTCCTTAAGGAGAATGAATATTGAATATTCCTTAGTGGTGTTGCCACTGATTCAACTGTCCTTGCAGCCAATAATCCCCTACCCACACTTATGCCAGCACCCCTACTTACATGCAGAGGGCCATTAAAACAATAAAATACAAAAAAGCAAGAGAAAGACTTGTTGGGAAGAAATATTCAGGGAGGTGGTGATAAAAGGATAATGGGGAATTGATTAAAATATACTATACATATGTATGAAATTGTGAAATAATTTTTTAAAGTTGTATCAATTATACTAAAAGTCAAACTCATGATAGTTTTAACCATCTGAGAACAAAACATAATGCACCCTGTGCCCACTGATGGCCCAGCCTGCTGCCCTACAATTCGTAGGGAACTAAAGGCACAGAGAGAGCTCCAATAGGAGCTGAAGTCACCTTGCAGGAATCAGATATGCTGCCTGGGTCCCAAGTACCAGCCCATCACCCATTCCACAGAAAGAGAGTACCTGGGGCCCAGTACTTCCAGTCTGTTGACTCCAGAGCCACAAATAATTCCCACCAATTATAGTCCCTGATTCAAGATGCTGGCCCACACACTCACCATTTCTGGCTTCCAGGGCATCGAGTGTCCTCCCTATGGAACTCCCCGCACCAGCACGTCACAGGGCAACAGAGTCTACAGCACAGCCACCTAGACCTCCAGAGTAGAGGAGACTGAGCCTAGGGACGCATCCCAAGATGGCGAGCTTCAGAGTAAAAGGTCCTAGCAAGACTGGGAAAGCCTGCCCCCTACTATCCTTCTGCCTGATTAGACATTCCTCAACCCAGTGCCTTCAACTGTACAGGAGGGGCTGCCTCTAGGGCCCTAAGTAACAACAGAGTCACCAACCCATGAATAAAGCCAGCATAACAGGTACTGTGAGTTGAAACACCAATCATATGTATACATGTCTACATGTATTTTTGTGTGACCTAACAGTATCTTTCAGTTAGAGGAACTCGGTATTTATTGTGTTGCTAATATAAGCAACGTGTCATTAAATTTTAGAATCCTATCTACCATAGGGGGTAATAATTATCTACACACTACATAATAAGCCCCTTAAAATGTTATTAAATACAGTATGATTGGACTGGTCAGTAATTTAGGCTAGGATCAGGTGGGCTCTTTTTGGTCTGTGCACCTACCTGATGGCTGAAGAGGCAGCTGAGCTTCAGAGAGTGACCTGACTGTCAACTGGAGCATCCTGATTCTCCTCCTTGATTCTCATCCTCCAGTACCCTACTGTGGCCTTCCTCTCACAGAGATAAGAGGGATCTGAAAGAAAGGGTGAATGTATTCCAAGACCTTTGCAGTGCAGGTACCAAACTAATACACTTTCCCATTCACTGCTTCACAAGTGACGTGCCAAATAGGCAACTCTGGATCCAAGGTTCAAGAAATAGAGTTCCCTTTCAATGGCCTGTCCTGGTTCTGGACCCAAAGAACCAATGGCGACTTGCTGACATTCTGACACTCAGTATCATTCAGCCTCTCCTTGCAGATGAAATTTCTGCTCCTGTTCCAACTCAAGGAATCTTCTAACTAACTGGACTCTGAGTTACAGAAAAAAAGAGAACATGAAGATAGGAGGAAGGCCTATTGGGTGTGTCTGAGGGAAGCAAAGGTGATATGATTAAGACATATTGTACGCATGTATGAAACTGTTGCAGAATCAATTAAAAAATCGTATGTTTTGGTTGTGAATGTAGCTTTTAATGAAGTCATCTCTCTAGTCCTAAAAAATATTCCTTTAAAAAAAGTCGATGAATTCAGCCTGACTGCAAAGGCCATGTATCACCACTAAAGAACAAGACTTATATAAATGGACTTGTCCTTTCCAGTCCTAGATAATGAACACTTATTCTAGTAGCAGAACTCAAGCAATCAAGGAACAACCGCATATTTCTGATGTCTCACCACAGCAGAAATTCGAAAATGTGTATACTGCATCCCACGGTGTGTCAATCATTTCTATCACTTTTAGTACTTGCAAGTAATTTATGATTTCTTGTACAGATCAGACAAAAAAAAATCCCTGTGCCTGGAATGTCTGTCTTACTGTGAAAATAACCTGAAGGCATGATTAAGAGAAAGTATTTCCTCTTGTTGGAATTTGGAGAAAGATGCAGCTAAATATTCTGAATTTGTTCTTTGATTTTTCACTAGGCAAAGCTGCTTTCAAACACTTGAAACTGATGCTACAATGAAGCGAATACACAGAGCACCCTGAGAATGTTTCTAGAACCCTAGACTCCCATTCCTAACTCCCAGAAAGACTTAAAATCTTCAAAATTCAAGTTGTGATGGGCCAATGAAATTAGAATTGTTGTACTGGCCCACCTAGAAGTCGATACTCTTTAATGCTTTCCAGTAGTATGCCATGTAAGGGGAGGGCCAAACCCATTGTTTTTTAAACCGTCATCTTTTGTAAACATTTCTGTAAGTTGGCCTTAAGGTAACATACAAATTTTGGGGCTAGAGAGATGGCTCAGCACTTTAGAATACTTGCTGGTCTTCAGGAGGACCCAAGTTCAGTCCCCAGCACTGATGTCAGCCAGCTCACAACAACTTGCAACCCCAGCTCCAGGATATCCAATGCCTCTTCCTGGCCTCGGAGGCACATACATGCTAATGGCATACACTCACACATATTCACACACATACATATAAATAAAGTAAATTTACTGCTAAGTTGTATTTCAATCTTACCTATTAACATAGGTTACCTAATCATTTGTTCATCTCAATAATTACTTTGTTCATGACTGACCCCAATACCGGATATGTCCTACTGTGCATAAGGTACAGAACACTTTAGTTTTTTCCTAGCTTTAGTGGTCATTATTATAAAGTGAGCACTATGTGGGGGAAAGTGTCATCCAAAAACAAAAGTCATGCCACTCACTAACTTCAAATGAAAAGTGACAGTTCTTAGGGATCACCCAAGGGTGAGAACATAAATACCTCAAAACACTACAACTGACCTCACGAGAACATGTGCGAACATGGCCAACATTAAAACAAAACTAAGTTCTACTGTTATTCTCGATACTTAGGTCTGCAAATCATTAACAAGTATTATGTTTTGTTCATGTAACATGCATGCTAAAACACATTCACAAAGCGTTCGGTTAAAACTCAATGACTTTTTACACAACGTTCACAAGTCAAATGTCTTGTTTTCCTCTCTTTCTGTGTTATAGTCACAGAAAACCCTTTTAAAGTCTTTGAGGGATTATTTTTCTCAAGTACTCTGGAATTTTTTTTAAAATTATACAATACTGCATACTTGAAATGTACAATGAGGAACAGTTAACATAATGGAAACTGGAAGTCGGTATTTAAGAAAAGGGGCAGAGAGGTAAAATGGGGTGAAGTGCTCACACGAAACAAGGAGGGACAGGGCTGGCATTCAGGGTTCTGGATTTGGAACGCCAACGCTCAAACATTAGGGAAAATTAGAGGAAACAGGGGGGTCACAGGAAGAAAGGGGGGACAAAGCATCCGTGGGCGACAGCTCGTCTCCAGGAAAAACCCCACAGAAAAGGACGAACACTACCTGCAGGAACCGGGCAGCCAGCGCAGAGCTGCCCTCCCTGAGAGGGCTCCAGAACGGGCTGCAGCCGCTGCACTGGAAGGGACAGGACGCCCGGGCTCGGGCAGCCCCACAGCACAGGGGGACCCAGCGCGGCCACCCGCCGGGCCTCGCCGCAGACCCCGCTCCGCCACAGCGCTTCCCGCTCGCGCGCCGCCACCTCCGGGCGCCACACGCACACTCACCAGGTCCGCTTCTCGGGGACGCCGGCGCCCTCCTGCCATCACCCAGCACACACCGCGTCACCGCGCCACCAAAGCTGCGCAGGAGCTTCCCGGGCAGAGGACACCGAGCCCAAGATGGCGGCTCCCAGACAAAGGCCGAGCGAGCGCCAAAGCCCGCCCCCGTCCTCCGTCTGTGTGTCTGATTGGATCTGCCTCACCCCAGGGCTTCCGATTGGATAGAGCTTCAGGTCCTGCCCCCTGAGTGACAGTAGTTGGCGCCAACTCTGGGCTGAAGGAACCCAGAATGACAGGTTCTTGGCTGCCGCTAATTTTAAGACAGGGAGGGCTTCTTGTGAAGCGCAATTCCTGTAATTGGACATTTGCGATTTAACCTTATATCTAGTACTATATACGCTTATGAATTATATATGTGTGTATACACATACTAGTCACAAACAGAAATAAGATGCCAACTTTTTTGTAAGTCTCTTAGATTATAGGCTCTGTAGCTGATGTTTAAGAGAACCAGATTACACACACACACACACACACACACACTTTTTTAAGTGGCTTAGCTCCACAAGCACACTAATCTTCAGGCAAGCTTTGGTGATTTAGATCACAAAATATCAGCACAGTATGACTTTTTTTTTTTCAGCAAAGTTCTCAGTCAACAATCACCAATTAACATAATTTGGTGATACAGCCGGTTCAATCAGAAACAGATGAACAGTTGAATCCAGCAAAGGATTGAAATTAAGTAAGCAGCAAATATTTTCCTGTTAATTTAAAAAATCTGCAGGTGTTAGAGAGATGGCTCAGCAGTTAAGAGCACTCGCTGCTCTTGCGAAGGACCAGTGTTTGATTCCCAGCACCCACATCAGCTAGCTCACAACCACCACAAACTCTAGTTGCAGGGGATCCAAAGCTTTCTTCTGAGGCAGGCCCATTGGTGCACATCTTTTGACCCCAGCACTCAGGAGGCAGAGGCAAGCTGATCTCTGTGAGTTCAAGGCCAGCCTGGTCTGTGCAGAAAGTTCCAGGACAGCCAGGGCTAATAGACCCTGTCTCAAGAAAAAAACCCAAAAACCAAAGAACAACACCCTTCTTCTAACCTCTGCAAGTACAAACACATACACGGACACAGAGTAATTAAAATAAGTAAACCAAATAAATGATTTCAAAGTAAACATATTGAAAATTTGAGATAATATCAACTAAGGAAGTGTATCAAAGATCTAAAAGGACAAAAGGAAGTACATAAGCCATGTGTATGAATGAAAGTGTTTGCATTTTGGACTCAGGCAGAGTCCATCCGTATATGTATGTATGTATGTATGTATGTATATATGTGTGTGTGTGTGTGTTTGTATTGTGTAGGTACTCTTGCCTGTGAGTACATGGGAAAGCCAGAGGTTGATTACAAGTGTCTTCCTCTATCATTCTCACATTTTTCTTTCTTTTTTGGGGGGGCAATGTGGTGATTTGAATAGGAATGACCCTCATAAGCTCATATATTTGAATGTCTGGCCATTAGGGAGTAGTGCTACTTGAGAGGAATTAAGAGGTACGGCCTGGGTGGAGGAAGTATGTCACTGGGCTTCGGGGTTTCAAAAGCTCAAGCGAGGCTCGTGGCTCTCTCTTCCTGCTGCCTGTGCATTTGGATGTGGAAATCTCTGCTGCCTTTCTAGCACCATGTTGGCTGGCATGCCACCACTCATCCCATCATGCTAATAATGGACTCACCCTCTAAAACTGTAAGCCATGCCCAAATAAATGCTTTCTTTTATGAGTTGCCATGGCCATGGTGTCAGCCACAGAACACTGACCAAGACAAACAGGGTCTGGGATTCTGGAATTCTCCTGTCTCCACCTCTGCAGTGCTGGGATGATAACAAGGTTTTTTGCATGGGTGCTATGAATCCAAGTGCCAGAGTTACTGCACAAGTGGCAAACACATTACCCCCTGAGCCAATTACTAGCCATGTGCTTTCACTGATGTTCCCACTGAAAGGGAAGATCTATTGCCCAAACTTTGAAGCTGGAGTGTCCTCGTCCACTATGGCTCAGACAAAGCTGTACTGTGAAAGTGCATTAGCTTGGTACATAGGCAAGAAAGGTTTTAAGGAGTCGTTTTCCCTTTACTTCCAGAATCCTGCTGTCTCCATGAGAACAAGTTGCCAGCAACCAACTAGGAAGTGAAGTAGTGTCTGGAGGAAAATCAACCACCGGAATCCCAGTTGGCAGCCAGCTTATCTCCTGCCGCCTTGTCAGGCACCGTATAACTACACACAGCAGAAGGAGCGCAGTGGATTTCAGCTTACATTGCTAACCAACCCAAGTTTGAACTAACTAACGACTTTTGAAGGGGCTTGTATCCAGCCTTATCTAATTAGTCATGGCCTTAATAGACAGATATGAATGTAACATAAATGACCTCAGCAAATTGTCATATGCTGTCTTAAGGGTATTGAAAGCAGACTTGGGGAGTGAGGAGGCCCTCTCTTTTCTCCTCCAAAACTCCCTGTTCTGAGTCAGGCTGGCTCCCTGGCTCTGTAAAAAGGAGAGAAAAAGCACAGCAAGCATGCTAGATTACTGTGTAGTGCATCGCTCAGAACCACTAAAAGTAAACCATTTCCAACAAACTTCAGTATGGTTCATTCTGTGATTGTAAAAATGCTTGCAGTAGGAAAGGGAAGCTGGAGCTATTCTGTGGAGAGAAAGATCTTAATCAGGAGCCCCAGCAGACAGCTTCAATGCCCCCAACACTTTCTGCTGCCTGTTTGTAAACACACTTAGTGTTGTCACTCTCTGCCTCCCTCCCCGTCTCTCTGTTTATTTTATGTGTCTGTGTGAGTGTGTGCACACATGTACATACAGGTGCCCTGGTGACTAGAAGAGGCCATAGGATCCCTTGGGATTGAAGTCACAGGCGTCCTTGAGTCCCCTGAGTGCTGGAATGGAACCCTGGCCCTTGGGACTGAACCCCAAGTGGTCCTAAGCCATTGATCCAGGATGTTTGCTTTCTTATTCAGGATCCTTCAGTTGTCCCTACTGGATATCATAAAGTCCTGTTTTGATAATATTTTGCTATCTGCTGCTTCTCTCTACCAGCTCCGCGTGCTTGAACTTTAGGGGAAATACCGATAGGGACTTCTATTCCCACCCCCTTCTACTTCCTGAGGTCAGGTTGGGAGAGTCATACCTCTCCAAAGGGTGCTGTGGCTTTTCTGAAACTGAGACAAGCTAGAGCCTTAAAACACTTGCTGAGTTTCGAAGATTTTTGACCAAATAGGACATGAAAGTCATCAATTTTACACCAATCAGATTATAAAGATACGTTTAGGTGTACTGGGTCATTACCATCAATTTTGCATGTTGTTTTTATTCATTTTGAGACAGGGTCTACATATGCACTCCAGGATGACATAAAAACTCATCTTGTAGCCGAGCTGAACGTGAGATTGCAATTTCCCTGCCTTTACCATTCAAATACTAAAAGTACATACAGGCATGTGCTACCAAAAAAGAAAAAAAACTTTACATTAGACATCTCTTCCCATTTTGAAGGCCAAGCTAATGAGAACAGAGTTCAGAAAATTTAGAAGAATTTTGAAAATTGACATCTTCCCATTTGTGACTTATACACAAATTTAACTCATAGTCTTATATGAATATATATATTTATATATATTTACACATATATATTTATAAATGCAAGTATGGCCTGTGGCCCTAGCAGGCTAACGGCACAGTGTAAGAACCTGGAGAAACAAGATTTTATCAGAGGCTGCAGCAGGACTCTTGGCAGCTGCCAGAGTCCCAACACCATAGCCGAAGGGGACCGAGGAGCAGGCCTCCCACAGAGATGACTAAAGTCCAAGCACTGAGACCTGACTCGAGCCTGAGTCCCCAACAGCTGCGTCTGAGAACCTGTCGTCTGGGGATCCTTGGTGCATTGGCGCCGACTACTGTCACTCAGCGGGCACTCACGAAGCCCTGTCCAATCAGAGGCTGTAGGCTGAGGCATGTCCAATCAGACACACATTCGGAGGGCGGGGGCGGGCCCTGTCTGTCGCCGGGCCTTTGTCTGGGATCTTCCATTTTGGACTGTGCTTGCTGCCCGGGAAGCTCCTGCGCAGCTCTGGTGGCGCGGTGACGCAGAGGGTGCAGGGCAATGGTAGGAGGGCGCCGGCGTCCCCGAGAAGTAGACATGGTGAGTGTGCGTGTGGCGCCCGGAGGTGGCGGTGCGCGAGCGGGAAGCGCTGTGGCGGAGCGGGATCTGCAGTGAGGGCCGCCCCGCTGGGTTCCCTGGGTTGTGGGGCTGCCCGAGCCCGGGCGTCCTGTCCCTCCTCAGACAGCGTCTGCAGCCCGTTCTGGAGTCCTCTCAGGGAGGGCAGCTCTGCGCTGACTGCCTGTTTGCTCCGGATCATGTGTGACGAGGACTTGGTGGATCATCAGGGAAAGTTTCTCCATGTGCCATTCATTCAGGAAAGGAGCTATGTGTGTTCCCTAGAATCCCCCAGTCCCTCCATCCTCTCCACGACCCACCTAGGTCCTGGTCTTTACAGACCAATGAGAAGCAGGATCTCAAATCCAGAACCTAGGCCAGCTGCTCGGAAGTCTGATTATATGGTTCTTAAAATTCCACATCCCCGCCCACAATCCCAAACACAGTAACTTCCCCTTCCACCATTTGTGCTCCCCTGAGCTTCCCACAGGTGCTCCCCAGAAAGGCTACACCGAAAGCCTTCCACTTGTTCCTCATGGCATATTTTCCTTATGGTATATCTCAAACACAAACACATTTTTTTTCCAAAAAGAAAATGTTCTGTTTTCTTCCAGGTACCAGAGAAATGGATTTTTTTTTTTTTTTTTTTTTTTTTTTTTTTTTTGGTTTTTCGAGACAGGGTTTCCTTGTGGCTTTGGAGGCTGACCTGGAACTCACTTGGTAGTCCAGGCTGGCCTCGAACTCACAGAGATCCGCCTGCCTCTGCCTCCCGAGTGCTGGGATTAAAGGCGTGCGCCACCAACGCCCGGCCGAGAAATGGATTTTTAACTGTGTGTGTGTGTGTGTGTGTGTGTGTGTGCATCAAGTTGGGGCAGTGCCAGAGAGAGTGTGTGATCCCCTGAACTGGAGTTACAGCAGGTTGTGAGCTGCCTGATAAGGATGTTGGGAACTAAGGCCCAGGTCCTCTGGAAGAACAGCAACTGCTCTTAACTGCTGAGCTGTCTCTCTAGTCCCAAGGATGTTTGTCTGTGAACATTTCAGGAGAATCACTTGAGTCCTTGTTACAGAAAGACTGGTTTGTTTGTTTGTTTTTTTTTTTTTTTGTCCTATTTTTTTTTAAACCCTTCTAGCCTAGGACGTATGATGAGAATGCCTTCGTGTTCCTTCCCATTTGGGAACCGTGAGAGTCCTCAGTCCGCCCTCGTGTCTCTTCCAGGTGGTAGGTTTCAGAACTGCCTGACACCAAGTTCTTAGAGTTGTCAAGGCTCCAGTCTCTGATCTCTTGGGTTAGTTAGTAACACTGAGTAGAACTGAAATGTGGAGTGAGCTGTGAGAGAGGGCATAGGAACTGCCAAGGTCCCATCAGGCTGCCAAGGGATCCACTGTTTTATTTGCTGCTGGTTGTGTGTCTGTGTTTTCTATTCATTAGTAATGCTATTTTTCATATGGTTATGTTGAAATGTCTTAACAATACAGTCCTTTCAACCATGTATATCCATGATATTTATAGCATTGGGACCTTGTTATCACAGTATTCGAGTTATAAAAGGCATGTTAGCATTATGTAATGATAGCCAATCTTACTGCTCTTATTCTAGGGTACTGGGTCCTCTCCTCCTGTAGGAGGCTTTCTGAGGTGTTGGGGTGCAGCCTCCCAGGGAAACACCTGGATGCCCTGCTGCTGGAAGGAAAGTCCTGGTACACTGTCATCTAAAAGGAACTTCAGTTGTTTCCATGTCTGGTCTGTGAGTGTGACTAATGCTGCAGCAAACATGGGAATGGTGCCATTTCTTTGACAAACTGATTGGTATTTGAATATGTAACCATTATTATAATGTTTGAATTACATGGTAGTTCTGCTTAGTTTTTTGAAAAGGAACACAAACCGCTATGCATAGCTTATATTCTTATTAGCAGTGTGCTAGGATTCCTCTTTTGCCATGCCCGTGTCTTTTTGAGCACTTGTTGTCTGGCATGGTTTTGATACTATTTATTCTCTACTGAAGCTGCAGGAGGTTTGCTGTTTGGCGTAGCCAGTTAAAGTCACCCCTGGAAGAATGTTCAGAAACTCTTCTAGGGTAATAGGGGTCTGTGACTTTTAACTCTTCATTAATGATGACCCTTGAGGGCCAACAAAGTGTTTATGTGCCCATCTTAAAAAGTTGGGTTTTCCTATGATTCATGGCCATTGGCACAGGCCAGTCACCTCTTCTCTGAGAGTTCTGAGGCTTAGAATTGATTCCTTGAAATGGAATACATTAAAACCAAGACACTTGGTGTGTGTTAAAACTCATTCCTTGAGATGGGCCTTGTAGGTGGGGTGAGCTGGGGTGAGAGTGAGGAGCTTAGGAAGTGCTGGAAACCCATTCTGGATGCTAGAGCATTTATTCTTTTGTGTTTTTTTCCCCTACTAGTAGTGTTTTGTTTTTTAAAGAATGCCTTTCTGTTGCTCTTAATACAAATCTCACATCCATATACATCCATCACTGGATCTTACATTGGGATGCCTTGGAGTTTGTTAGTACAGTATTAGAATTACATACTGTATGCTAGTATCACGTAATAATGGCCAATATTATTGCTCTTATTCTTGGTTAATTTCACATATTATGTAGATACACACATGTACACAAACATATTATATATTTATACATGCATATAGTGAACCTTCCAGAAAAATTCCAGGTTTTTGTGGTTCTTTTCCTTCTATTAAAAATTAAGCATGTTGAAGTCAATGGTAGTGGCACATACCTTTAATCCTAGCACTTGGGAGGCAGAGGTAGGGGGGATGGGTCTCTGTGAGTTTGTGACTAGCCTGGTCTTCAGAGCAAGTTCCTTTACAGACTCCATAGCTACACAGACAAACCCTATCTCGAAGAAAAAAAAAAAGAATTAAGCATGTTGAAATTCTGATGGAATAATATTATTAATTTAGGAGAATAAAGTTATGTTTATAAATTTTTCAACACAAATTGTGTGTGTGTATGTGTGTGTGTGTGTGTGTGTGTGTGTGTGTGTGTGTGTGTGTCTAACTTGGTCATTTATATGCGCCTCTCTGAATTTTTATTTTCTCATAAGTTCTGCCTATTTCCTTTACAAATTTTATGACCAAGCAAAATATCACAGGCATATAATATCTATGCAAAACTTAGCCTGTGCTTCACTGTTAACTACTCATAAAAGACCTTGAGTGTGATTGTCACCTTGCCACATAATTATTTATCACTTCCTGAATGTATCTCCTCTTGTCTCCACCTCCCAGGATCTCAACTCTTTGTGTTATTATTTCTGTGCCTCCTGTGTTATCACGACACACATTTATGACAGAAAACATTTTGCCTCTTCACAGCCACTTTCTCCAAAGGAATAGCAACTTACACTTCATCTTGAGTTTGTCTTCAGTTGTTCCTTGTGTTCATCAATACTGTTTGTCTGTTGTGCTTTATGGTTTATTCTCATTTCTAAATGTGTTCTGTATTTTTATGGTTATTGAGCATGTGCATACTTACTATAAAAAGCAGCTTTTCAAATCCCTTGCCTACTTTTCTGTCTAGGTCTCTGTCTTTTCCATCCTTATTAAAAGAGATTAGATGTGTGTGAGGCAGTTGGTTTCTCCCACTGTGCCACTTCATTTTTTAACCCTTTGTTTTATTTTATGGATACAATTATTTCAGTGTAGTTTAAATTACAATTTTTAAAAATAGAGCTTTGTGTACATTTAAAGAGCTTTCCCATGACACTTTTGTGTTCCCATTCCATTTCCCATAATACCTTTAGAATGTGTGCTTTTAGATTTATAATTTATAAATGATTTATATTATAGATTATTTCTTAATAATATGACGAAAGGGTATGCAAACATTTGTAGCCATACTACTATTCCAATGTTCCTGTAGTTTTCATTGGAAAGGGAGTGTTTTATTTTTGTTGTACAGTCCAGTCTCTATCATCTACAAATCTGAAAGGCAATGATTTTTTTAAGGGTTCTGTCTTCATATCCACAGTTCTATTTACTCATCTGATTGCCAAGTCCGTGCTATACAGCTTGATAATATATAGACATGTGACACACCAAGATGTCATGTCATAAGATTCATTTATGATAGTGGCTATAACATGTAACTGAGGTTTGTATAAATTTGCTTGGTAATGCTTGCAGAATGTCAGAATCACTAAGAACACATCTTATATGGTGTCTCCACTATAATGTGAGGTATGAGTTCAAATATATAATACAAATTAGCATGTAATTTTTCCTTATTGAAGTTACCTGGAATTGCTGATATTCTCTGTGAAATGTTCCTTTTCAATACCTCTTCATTTTTTTCTTTATTTTGGAATGTTTGGTTTACTCTCCCCCCCAAACTTTTTTGAAAATTGCATTTACTTATTTTGTGTGTCGGGAAGAGAGAGAGAGAGAGAGAGAGAGAGAGAGAGAGAGAGAGAGAGAGAGAGAGAGAGACTATATGGAGACCAAAAGACAGTGTTAAGGAGCCGTTTCTCTCTTTCCGTTGTGTGGGTCTTGGGGATCAAACTGAGGTCATCAGCCTTTGTGTCAAGCCCTTTATCTCTACTGGCTAAGCATCTTGTCAGCTCCATCTCTTTTTTTTTTTTAAACAAAATATTTATTTTCTCAATTATTGAGAACAGAGATTAGGCAATGAATTTTTAGTCTCTTCGTTGTTTTGCCTAATATTGCTTTTGTCTGATGAATATTATTTTAACATTAGGATATGATACATTATCTCTAAGTTTATTGATTTATAATTGACATGATTTGCATATATTTTTGTTTACTACCATGCTTACATCCATAACACCAGTACCACAGCCAGCAGAATTAACATACCCATGATTCCATTGTGTTTCATAGTGTCCTTATGCAGTCCCTCCTTTATGTTTTCCCCCCATCCTATTTTATGTAACAAACATTTCCTTGAACAAAAGAAAATTGTGACAAACATCAAAAATATATAGCTCAGTGAAATATCACAAGGGACATGTAATTGCTACCTCTCATGTCAAAAATGAATACCTTTTGTAACAGGTAAAATGTTTGGAATGTGTTAATTTAGCAGACCACCGGCTCCCACCACCCCAAAAATAACTTCAGATAGCATCTGTAGCCTATACTAGAAATTTGACCACTTTGCTTCAATCTGTCGTGTTGATTTACATAAGAAATGTCCCTATAAGCTCATGTCTTTGAACACTTGGTCTGTGGTTGGAGATGCTATTTGTGGATGTTATGGAATCTCTAGAAGCTATAGCTTGCCAGAGGAAGTACATCACTGGGCAGGTTTTGAGGACTTATAGCCTGGCCCCATGCCACACCTTCCCTGTCATGACAGAGTCTTACTCCTCTTAAACCATAAGCCAAAATAAACTCTTCTTTAAGTTGCTTTAATAGCTACTAGTCATTTACCTAATAGCTGTACCTCTATATTTAGTGATGCCTTGATTTATGACTTGTTTTGTGACTATAGAGGTTCATGTAACCACTTCCACCTAAATCCATGTTGCTAGGCCATAGCCACTAATTTTTTGACTTGGAATGAAGTACGTTTTATTCCTTTTGAGGTGAGAACTATTTTGTGGACATTGATGTGTACCAAGCCCACACATTACCTAATTGTCCCTGTTCCCTTTGTCTCTCCAGAGTTTGGGAAGTTGTGGGCATATGGACATAGACATGTCTGAAGAGGGCCCCAAGTCCCAAGACACCATTTAGACAAGAGCCTAGATTCTAGACCTGCACCACAAATAGGCAGGAGCAAGTGGATGAGTGGACAGCTGTGAAATTGGGCTCTAGAAAAGTGGCCTAGGGTGGTAAGTGCTAGTTATGCAGGTTTCAATAGCTTATACATCTACACCTCTGGACTTCCTGACCCAAATTCACCATGTCCTGCTTTCAATTGTCCTGGTGTCCTCCCCATGACTGCCATATAGGTTATGGTGGGACAGATGATATTGCACAGCTGTTAAAGTTTGTAAGGCCCATAGCATGTGTCTATGACAAACTGTAACACAATTTACACATATTCATGAACTTTAACCCAATAGCCCTTTTTACCCCCACCCCTTTTCTTTCAGCAGAGCACCTGATTAGACAGCTCAATTATTCCCATTCCTTTAGAATGAAGGGAAGAAGGTTAGTCTACAAGCAGATTCCCGTTCTTTTTGTGGGCTGTAAGTAGCTCCTTCCAGCCACATTTCCATGTAAACAGAACCTGATCCTAATACCAAACTTGACCCCAGTGTCTTCCCACAGCTCCTTCTGAACATGAGGATTCGAGCATGTGAAGAAAATCTACTCTTGGTACTATTGCATAATTGTTATGACACCACTGAATGATGGAAAATTTTTATGTTAACATTATCATATAAGAGCTACCATACTATTGTGTGGGTTGTTATTGATAAAATGCTGTGTAACACATGAAAATACTCTTGATTGGCAGAGTAAAGAATCATAAAAATATGTTTCAGGCATGTCATTGTAGCCCTTATTGCATCGATCAGTCTATATACAATAGCTGGCTACAAAACCTAACTCCTCTCTTCTCTTCTTCAGTTTGTGTGTCATGCAAACTAGACCACTGGTGAATTTTAACACGGAGTAACAAGGAATGGATTATGCAAAAACAGATGTCACAACCTCATCCACATTAGTTAAATTCAAGCTAAAAAAATGATTTCCAACTGTAGATTCTGTTACACTATTGCAGATCTGTTTGTGATCATA